TAGTCTTACATTAGCACTATATAAACCTGGGGTCTCAAACTGATATTCAAAGGGGCCAATCTGGTAATAGAAGTAAATGAGATTACTTAGCTGTAGAATGATAGGGAGGTTTCCATACCTTGTCTAGAAATATTTAGCTTTTTAAAATAGTCTGCAGATTAAAACTGAACACACCTAAGGGTCTCAATCCAACACATAGACTGTTAGCTTAAACTCCTACTATAAAACATTCCTGACATTGTCCTTCCCTTCCCATGGCTCCCTTTTGCTTCAGCACAAAGGCTTACCACTTGACTTGGTATTTAGGGTTCTTTTTTGTTTTGTTTTGTTTTTTGCGTTGGGGTCTCACTCTGTCCCAGGCTGGAGTGCAATGACACACTCCCAAAGTGTTGGGATTACAGGCATGAGCCACCATGCCCAGCTGGTATTCAGGGTTCTTAGCAGCTTGGCCTGCTCTCTGCCTTTCCACCATCATCTACTTTGTTCTTAGCCTATACTGTAGCAAGATGGGTTCCCTGCTGCCTCCCAAAACAAATAAGAAATAAAGCATTTTAAATCTTACAGTACAGTACCTTGACATCCTGGACTTGAAATGAAGATTACTACTATACGCTATACAGTGCAGTACACAAAAGCACTACCACTTGTACAGGATGCACACACATCTCAATATTCTAGACACTTAGGTGATGGGACATGCAAACCTTTGAAAGTCAACTTGAAGGTTTGTAGGTAAGGGAGTTACTATATTGTAATATATAACATGGAGCAAAATTTAATAGTCATAGAAAATAAGATTTTTTCAGATTTAGGAAGTGGTAAGAGGTTTAATCTTGAGTATCTCTTCAAACTCTGCCAGTTACCAGCATTGCAAGTTAAAGTAAGTTCTCAAGCTCTCTGAGCTTGCCTTCTCCATCTATAAAATGGGGCTAATGATTTCTGTAAAGAGAGTTGTGCCAATTAAATATGACATATTATGTAAATGTCTTTACATAAAGTGTACGCATTCACTAAATTATAGTTCTTGCTATGGAAGCCAAAACTAAAGGAGCAACAACTTCACTTGTTTGTTTAGTGAGAATAGTAGCAGTAAATTTGACGTGCTTCTGCTATGAAATTGCCGCATTTAAGGCATTTGTGATATATTAATACAATGTATGCATATTAATTCCCAAATTACTACAAACCAAGCATATGTTCTTATTCAAAATTTACCAGCCTTGAGGTTCTGGATCCAGTAAAACTTACATCATTAAAAAATATATGGCCGGGCCTGGTGCCTCAGCCTGTAATCCCAGCACTTAGGGTGGCTGAGGCAAGTAGATTGCCAGAACCTGCAGGTTCAAGACCAGCCTGGGCAGCTTGGCAAGATCTCCTCTCTACAATAAATAAAAAAATTAGCCAGGCATGGTAGCGTGAGCCTGTAGTTCTAGCTACTTGAAAGGCTGAGGCGGAAGGATTGCCAGAGCCCAGCAGGTCAACGCTGGGATGGCCATGAGTGTGCCACTGCACTCCAGCCTGGGTGACAGAGTGAGACTCCCACTCAAAAAAAAATTTATTTGGTGTCTATTTTCTCCTTTAATTTTATGAGGAGACACTTCGAACAGTTTGCCTTTGAATATTTTCCTTGTCACATTAGAATTTATTATTCCAGGCTGGGCTCAGTAGCTCAGCCTGTAATCCCAGCACTTTGGGAGGCCAAGGTGAGAGGATTGCCTGAACCCACGGGTTCGAGACCAGCCGGGCAACTTGGCGAGACCTCATCTCTACAGTAAATCAAAAATTAGTCGGGTGTGGTGTCGCCCCTGTAGTTCCGGCTACTTGGAAGGCTGAGGCAGAAGGATCGCTGGAGCCCAGCAGGTTGACACTGGGGTGGCTGTGAGTGTGCCACTGCACTCCAGCCTGGGCGACAGAGTGAGACTCCAGATCAAAAAATAAAGAAAGAATTTACTATTCCAGTAAAGTTGGAAAGTAATTTTGTTTTTACAACCAGTTCATTCAGAAAACACTACTTAAAATGGTCAGTGATGTTTGAAGGGAAATGTAGGAAGAACTTTTTATTTGCAAATATGGAAGAGTAGGCCAGATGGATTTTTTAAAATTCCAATTTATTCATAAAGTACACTAGTAACAATTACATTAATTATAGCTCAGACATTCTTTTTGTTCTCAGTAGAAGAGCTTGGTATATTTTGTTTGGGTAGGAAAGGAATTTAGCAATTGAAGTGATAAATTAAACAACAGCCCAATCTATTAGAAGCACTTATCAGTCTTTTGAATAAGTCTCTAAACCACACCATATTAGGTAACTTCATCATGGGTAAATGTATGACTTTATTTTACAGAGAAAAGAGATGGTGGATGAGTATGTAAACTTCCTCCCCTTTTTTTACACTTACAGAAAAAAATACCAATGACACATCTTTATTAGTAATGTATTAGTTAAATTTTAAATGTCAATTTTCCATCTTTTACTCTTTAAAACTTATTAAGACTTCTTTCCCTCTCAGTTGCAGTAAGGTCTTGTAAAAAAAAAAATAAGTGGTTTTTTTTTGAGGTCTCACTCAATCAACCAATTGGATTGCATAATCATGTCTTAATGCAGCCTCAACCTCCTGGGCATAGGCAGTTTTCCACTTCAGCCTCCCAAGTAGCTGGGACTACAGGCACATGCCACCACACCTGGCTATTTTTTTTTTTTTTAATTCAGAGTCTTACTCTGTCATCCAGGCTGGAGTGCAGTGGCATGCTCATGGCCACCGTAGCCTCACCTGCTGGGTTCAGGCAGTTCTTCTGCCTCAGCCTTCCAAGTAGAGGAACTACAGGTACATACCACCACACCCAGCGAATTTTTTGTTTTATTGTAGAGATGAGGTCTCTCCATCTTGCTCAGGCTGGTCTCGAACCCCTGAACTCAGGCAGTCCTCTCGCCTCCGCCTCCCAAAGTGCTGGGATTACAGACATGAGACACTGCAACCGTTGTGATGTTTTAAAAAAATTTTTTACAGAGATGGGGTTTCACTATGTTGTCCAGGCTGGTCTTGAACTCCTGGATTCTAGCAGTCCGCCCACCTCGGCCTCCCAAAGTGCTGAGATTATAGGCACGAGCCTCCACTACTGGCCTGATACTGTTTCTTTCTAAAAGAAAGATTTGAAGGACTATTTCTTTACATATTTGTACTTAACTTTTAATGCCACTGAAGTACTTCTGTTTTTTTAGAACAAGGACTTCTGAAATACGTATTCCCTATAAAAAGAAAAGAATAAAATGCAGGATTATTGATTTCTTTCTTTCTTTATTTTTTGAGATAATGGTTTCTATAAACCCATGTTCAGGGAAGATGGTAGAAGACTATCTTGAGTTATTTGACCCTAAAAGCCCTGAGTTATAAAAAGAACTAATGGAATCTATAATATTTATGCATAGTACATTTTCAAAGATTGCTGGCTGGACCTGAAAATCACATTAAGTATTTTATGCTATTGATCAGATAAATGACATTACAGGCAGGCCTCAGCTTGCAGTGATCTGCTGCTAGCAAGTCACTGACATCCACAGTATTAGACCCACAATGCCCACCTATGTCATCACCTGCAGCATAGAGCAAGCAGGCAACTTGCAAGGCAACTTATGTGACTGACCCTACTGCTTAGGAGCCTTTGGTAAGGCCTCCTGCTTCCCAGCCTGCCTATTCTACCTGAGCCTCTTCTGTTTCTCTGTGCACCTTGGAACCTTTTAGCTCCTAAATGGCAAAGGCTTTTAGTTAATAAGGGGTGAGATGTAGAGAGGAGAGAAGAGGTCTGAGTAAAAACTAGAATGCAAAAGAGAAAGGGACAGAGACTGGGGGTTCTGAAGAGGTATTAGACAAACTTTTTCTATAAATGGCCAAATTATAAATATTTTAGGCTTCATGATCTGTTACTACTACTCAGTTCTGCCATGTAGCCCAAAGCAGCCATGCACAACACATAGATGAAAGGGCTTGACTATATTCCACTTAAGTTTTATTTACAAAAATAGAAGTGGGGTTTTGACCTGCTGGTCATAGTTTGCCAGCCTCTGCATACTAGAAAGGATTATGCCCCTAGTAAACTGGCTCTGAGAGAAATTCTAGAAGTCTAGAAGTATTTTTTGAGCAGTAGAGTATTAGTGAGCAAATGCCTATTTTCTCAGAGGAACTGAGAACAACTCTCATTTTGATGTTAAAGGTTTGGCATCTCATATACTTTGGGTCTCATATGCTCATTTCTTAAAAATTCCTGATGAATGTAAAAAGCAATGGTGGATTATAAGCATCCATTATAAAGCCAAACCCAGTGCTAATGATTAAACAAAGAGCAGGGACTTAAATGATAATTTTACAGATAACAGGGAAGTTAAGCTACAAAGCAAGGTAGTTATAGAACATGTCCTGGTTTCCAGTCTACGTCTGCTGCTCACTGTTCATACTGTCTGTCCCTGGAGTCAGCTCAGGAGTTAAGAAGATAAGGGTTTTAGGCCTGGTACAGTGGCTCACACCAGTAATCCTAACATTTTGGGAGGCTGAGGCAGGAGGTCCACTTGAGGTCAAGAGTTTGAGACCAACCTGGGCAACATAATGAGACCCCATCTCTACACCCCCCCCCCAAAAAAAAAACAAGACAGAAAGAAAAATTAGGTGGGCAGGAGGATCTTGAGCCCAGGAGTTTGAGGTTACAGTGAGCTATGATCACACCATTGCACTCCAGTCTGTACAACAGAGCAAAACTGTTTCTTTTAAAAAAGAAAAAAAAAAGTCAGGGTTTTAGACTTATGTGTTTCTCAGTCTCTGCAAAAAAGTTAAAGATTAATTCTGTTAGATTTTGATGATTAATTGTGACATGTTTTTCCTATAGGAATAGGATACCCCTATAATAAAAATTCAAATATTTGTTGAATGAGCCTTTTTACAGTTAACATGTAAAATAGCATTGAGATGTCCCACCTTAATAGAACAAATGATTCTTCTAATCTCTGACAGGTTGTTCCTGCTGAAGGATTAGTCTCTATATTAAAGAAGAGGAATGATGCTGTAGGAGATCATCCTGCCCAAATGCAACAAAAACCATCTAAGCGAAGAGTGAGATTCCAAGAAATAGATGATAACTTGGATCAAGGTAAATTGCTCAGCACTGTGTCCAGCAGAGCTGATGCTCTGTGTTTACTGAAAGAATGAGTTCATGTACATGAGGTTTGCTAACAGGATTTGTAAAGGAATATATGAATGTAGTTGCTTTATCTTCTAAGAGAGAAGCATACAAAATCAGACTATCATCTTAAATTATTTCTTAACATTTTATTCACTCAAATAAGTGAATAAATTGCAAAATTTAACTTGTGGCTTCCCAATCCCATAGATAGTCCTCAACAGTGCATTTCAGTTTCCTATTTTAGTACCTTTTTTTTTTAAAGTGAGCCTGCTGTTTTTGTCTCCTTTTCAGTGGCCAATTAATACTCCTCTTTATTGTGGGAAATATTTATGATTACAGGTATATTCTCAGCAGTGTTTTATTCTTAACTATAGAAAACAATCTCTCAGGAGTAGCAATTTAACATGTTGCTATTGTTTGACTTTTTCCTCCTGGGCCTATACTTAAAGGTGGTTACTGTAGCAAATAGTGCTGCCTTGTTTATCTCAGGCCTAGGTAAATAAGGGTAAGTAGAAATGTAGCCAAGAACCTTTCCCTATGCTTCTCAGGTTTATAAAAGAACTACTTTGTTAAAACAACAGTGTAAACATTTAGGTATACTTTCTAAGTGTGAAATAAGTGACAGTAGTAGAGGTTTCTTTTTTTTTTTTCATTCTGTCACCTAGATCGGGTGTGCAGTGGCACAATCACAGTTTACCACAGCCTTGACCTTCTGGGCTTACACGATCCTTCCACCTCAGCCTCCCAAGTAACTGGGACTACAAGCATGTGCCACCACACCCAGATAGTTTTTTATTTTGTGTGGAGATGAGGTCTTGCTATGTTGCCTAGGCTGGTCTCAAATTCCTGGGCTCAACTAATCCTCTTACCTAGACGTCACAAAGTCCTGGCATGACAGGCATGAGGCACTGTGCCTGGCTGAGGTTTCTTGATTTTGACATTTATAAAGCCTTGTTGGACCTTGGAAATAATCTATTCTAACCCTTCATTTTGCCTCTGCACCTTCTTTATTAGTTTCTCAGTCTTCTCCAAATAAACTGCTCATTTCTGTTCACACTAACTACTAGGAGGAGCATACTAGGAACACTAACTACTAGGAGGAACATACTAGGAACCCTGAATTTGGAACTCACGGTCCCTATTTCACTTAGTAATAGGGACTCATCTTAGACCAGGTCACTTAACTAGAAGATTCAGTTTCATCATCTTTTTAAAAAAAGATAATAACGTCTGCCTGCCTGTCCCTATGGGACATGAAAAACATGTTGAATAATGTATATGATTTCATTTTGAGGATTATAAAACTTCATTTAAATGGTTGGTGATGATGGTTTATTCTCAAACTCTCTAGCTTACACGGTGTTTACATAAGCCTCACTTTCTGCCAAAACCTTCCTAAAGGGCCAGTTGTTCTTTCTGTAATTCAATGCTGTCCACTAAAAAAATAATGTGAGACGTGTATATGATTTTAACGTTTGTAGTAGCCATATTTTTAACAGATATAGGTGAAATGAAATTTTTTTGTTTTCATTTTTGACTTGGAGTTTCACTCTTTCTCCCAGGCTATAGTGCAGTGGTACAGTCATGGCCACAGCATCCTCACCCTGCTGGGTTCAGCCTATCCTTCTTCCTCAGCCTTCTAAGTAGCTGGAACTACAGGTGCACGCCACTACGCCTGGCTAATTTTTTTTATTTATTGTAGAGACAAAGTCTCACCAAGTTTCCCAAACTGGTCTCAAATTTCTGGACTCAGGCTGTTCTCTTGCCTCTGCCTCCCAAAGTGCTAGGATACGGGCATGAGCCACCATGCCCAGCCTTCAATTTTCAAAACATATTTTATTAGCCCAGTTTATCAAAAATGTTATTTCAACATGTGATCTATATGAAGAAGTTACTATTCTTTGTAAAGAGATATTTTGTATCCTTTTTTTTACAACAGGTATTCAAAGTCTGGTATGTACTTTACACTCACATCACCAGCCACATGCCAAGTCCCCAGTGGCCACACGTGGCTTGTGACTCCCACATCAGATAGTGCAGCTCAAACAGTACCAGCACACGTAGAGCAAATAGATGCTTTTAAATATTTAAGCTATATTTAAATGCATATGAATATATTATATTGAAGAAAATACGGAAGGATATGTAAATGAGGTTGTCTAATATAGATAGGGGTGGGAGGGGATTATGTTACAAAAAAGGCAAGTGAAAAGACTGAACCGCCCAAAAGCAAAGGCACAGCATAAATGATATGATCATATTTCTTCATTTGTATAAAAAATTTTTTCATACATAGGTATTAAACTATTTTAAAATGTAAGTCAAAGAATAATGCAATCTATAATCCTATTTATATGGAAGTCCTAGAATCATATATGTTTAATCTAGAAGGATACACACCAAACTTAACAATATTTACCTCCGGTATGGAGGGGGATATGATTGGGTAGGAGAAAAAGGGCCAGGCTCCTTAGACTCTAAGATGCTTTGGGGTTTGAATTTGTATAGGGAGAATATATTCATATAGTACCATAAAAATCCTCCAAATAAAGTCTATTTCTTATATATTAGATTTTACAAAATTTGTTATCATAAAAATAATATATGCTAATCATGAAAAAATTCAGACTGTAATAAAGTAAAAATTTAATCGTGGTTCTTAGACATCTTTCAGTGAGAGCACATATTAAGTTTACTTCATTCATTCTGTTAAATAATTGCATAGTTGTTCCATTATATGTATCCCATATAGTATTCCATTATATGTATCCCATATGTATTCTTTGGTTTGGAAGGAATGATCTTTGGAGAGTGTATCCATTTCCCTGCTGCCTCCTAGTGTAATGAGGTATACTGAGCAGAATTAAAAGAGTAATCTTAGAACCAAACTATATTTAGCTACCTTGTCACACTAATGGTTAAAGGACACTTGGTCTACACTTGTTGGTTCATAGAGATTGCTTTTTTTTTAACATGTTTTTTATTTTAAAATTGTGGGGTACAGTTAAAGGTTACGTATACTGATATGTATTGTGCAGGTACCCTTGTTGATGAGGTGTGCCCCCCCATCCCCAGACAGATATTGACTACCATTAATCCCACCTCCCTTCCCCCTCCCCCATAGTTTCCCACCACTGTCAATCCTTTTCTTATAGTATTACAATAGTTGTTCAAGGTCCACCAATGAATGAGAACATGTGATACTCACATCTTTGTTTCTGTGAGAGATCACTCAGTATTATAAACTCCAATTCCATCCAAGTTGCTGTGAAATTCATGATTTTGTTCTTTTTTATGACTGCGTAATATTCCATTATGTATATGTACCACATTGTTTTAATCCAGTCCTCTTTTGATGGACAGCATGGTTGGTTCCATGATCTTGCTATTGTGAACAATGCTGTGATAAACATACATGTGCAGGTATCTTTTTTATAGAGTGATTTGAGTTCTTCAGGGTATCTTCCCAGTAGGGGGATTGCGGGGTTACAATGAAAACCACAAAACACTGCTCAAAGAAATCAAAGATGACACAAACAACTGGAAAAATGTCCCATGGATTGGAAGAGTCAACATTGTGAAGATGTCCATCTTACCTAAGGCAATCTACAGATTTAATGCAATACCCATCAAATTACTAGCAACATTCTTATAGGAATTCATATGGAAACACAAACGACCAAGAATAGCCAGAACAATCCTCAGCAAAAAAAAAAAACAAAGCAGGAGGTATCACAATACCAGACTTTAAACTTTACTATAAAGCTACAGTAATCAAAATAGCTTGGTATTGGTACAAGAACAGGCATATAGACCAATGGAATAGAATTGAGATTCCAGAAGCAAAACCCCAATTTCCCAACCAAGTCATCTTCGACAAAGCCTCCACCACCCACCACTGGGGAGAGGAGAACCTATTCAGTAAATGGTGCTGGGAAAACTGGCTGACCACATGCAGAAGATTCAAACAAGACCCCTATCTATCCCCATACACAAAAATTAACTCTAAATGGATCAGAGACCTAAATGTAAAACCTCAAACCATAAAAACTTTAGAAAATGAGGACACATCCTTATAGAAGTTGGAACTGGCATCCAATTCCTGAGCAAAACCCAAAACGCACAGGCCGTAAGAGATACAATAGACAAGTGAGATTGCTTTTAGCCATCACGCAATTATTTATTTAACTATTCCATTGTAACTGTAATAATTGGGTTATTCCCAACCTTTTGTTTTAACAAACTCAGCTGCAGTGAACAAGCCTGTATATATGATGTTTTATGTTGTGCAAATCTATAGGCTAATTGCTACAAGTGGATTTAATAAGCTAATAGTTGACGCTATATGTCCCAGTTGGCCTGAGGCAGTCCTGGTTTATACCTATTGTTCCCGCATTGCATTCAGTTTACCACTCTCAAAAGTGTCTAGCCTGCTGGGCACAGTGGCTCACATCTGTAATCCTGCACTTGGGAGGCCAAGGCAGGCAGATTGCTTGAGTGCAGGAGTTCAAGACCAGCCTAGGCAATGTAGTAAGACACCCATCTCTACTAAAAAATTTAAAACTTAGCGGGGCATGGTGGCATGTGCCTGCACTCCCAGCTACTCAGGCTGAGGCAGAAGGATCACCTGAGCCCGGGAGGTTGAGACTACAGTGAACCATGATCATGTCATTGCACTCCAGTCTGGGTGACAGAGTGAAACACTGACTCAAGAAGCAAAAATGTGTCTGCCTGGAGGATAAGTTAATTTAAAATTTTAATAGACACCGCAAATTACCTTCCAAAAAGGTTTTCCTACACATTCACCATGCTGCTGTAGTCTTTTTGAACTGTTATTTATTTTTCTTAACTATGAATAATTAAGACTTTTTTTAACCTAAGCATAGTTGTTTTCTTCAATAAAGAAAGACTGATGTGGACATTTTTATTTGAAAACAAACCTGCTGGAATTGTTAAGCGAAAAAAAAAGGAATCACCACATTGGCTAGAACTCTCACCGATTCACTTCAGTGGTAATTATACAAGTGCAGATGAGATCCCACCCAAATAAAATTTTTGTTATTTAATAACTAAAGTTGACTTTTCTTTAGGGTGGTGTAGTGATGTGCACTCCAAATGTATTATAATAATAAGGTTGTAGTGTGTACTCCAAAAATAACACGATGAGCACATCAAAGGAATACTGCCCTTTTTTTCTTATTTTTCATGAAATGATTGTACTCATTGTATAAATGAGCTATTTTTAATTTTAGCATTCACAAGCTCCATAAGTATGAATCTTTGTGGTAATTAATAGGTAGTTCTTCGTAGAGTCATTAAGAGCATGGGTTTTCTGTTAATATGTCCTGTCCCTACAGGACTAACATTGGAAAGTCGAGTTATCTTAATCAATAAAAAGGCAGCTGATGCTAAGATTTTCATTTTGATAACAATTTAACCTTACTCTGTTCTCATGTTTGCAGATGAAGTTGGAGGTGGCTCCTGTGTTTTACTGATCTTGCTGTGCATAGCAACGGTATTCCTTAGTGTTGGAGGAACTGCATTATACTGCACTTTTGGTGACATGGAGTCGCCGGTTTGTACAGACTTTGCAGACAACATGGACTTCTATTACACTAAGTTACTGCAGGGAATGACAGAACTTAAACACTGGATCTACCTCTCCTAGCAGCATTCAAGAGAGACAGGCATGCTGGAAGTGAAAATGAAAGATGTGAGACGTTGTAAACAGTTTTCATTTCAGGAGTTTTGTTAACATTCCCCCTTCCCTCTGTTAGGAACCAAGTACATCAGACACAACAGCTTTAAATGGCAATCCAGAAGAACTCTGTTAGAATAATCCACATAAGGAGGCAAATAATGATCTAAGCATTTGGTTTGGAAGGAATGATCTTTGGAAAGTATCCATTTCCCTGCTGCCTCCTAGTGTAATGAGGTATACTGAGCAGAATTAAAATGGTAGTCTTGAAACCATACTATATTTAGTTACCTTGTCACACTAATGGTTAAAGGACACTTGGTCTACACTTGGTGGTTCATAGAGATTGCTTTTAGCCATCACGCAATAATTATTAGAATCAGGAGTTACCTTATGGTTTCAATGTCTTTTGTTAGTTAATCTTGGAAGCTATGTAATTTAGACTTTGTGCATTATTTCCAGATTCTGTTCTCCATTTGTGAAACGGTTGTATGTGTGTGCGTGTGTGTGTGTGCTTCAGGCAGTTATCATAAGCGTATGCCTGACATAGAATAACAAAGATTATCTTTATTCTTTTAACTTGACTATGATGTGCAGGCACAAATCTTTTAAAGATTTAACTATGGAATAGATGAATTGTAGAAATCTTGACCCTGAAATGAGAAACTGAGACAGATCTGTGGCGATTAACCTGATTAACTAGGCAGAAAACTGAGTCTCAGGCAACAGTTTTGTCATGGATTCAGTGCTTCCTGAAATGATAGATGTTGGACTCAGTTCAGCAAATGCTTATTGAATATCTATTATGTTCTGAGAATCTAAGAACCGGAATATAAACATAAATAAGATATAGTTCCTGCTATAGGTGTTTTAATTCTGGTTGTGTAAAATAAACCAATACGTTGGTGAGTGAAATCATTATATATAATTCAGTATTAACAGGTTATGCATTCAGGTGTTTGAATGTGCATTCATATTATGGGCTTGATTTAGACCCTGTTGTGGGGGTCATTAAGTGAAAATTCCATCATACCTTCAATAGGCAAATGTCTGATTTTTGTTTAAATCTGTCCGTTAGGTGACCTTTCCTTATCTAAGGTACAGTGATCTAACATTTAGGAAGCCTTGCTTTGACTTTTTAATCAGGCAGCATTTAAAAAACAAACATGAATTATAGTTTTTTATTATCAAGTAGTCATCATTTCCTATTTTTCTGTTCGGATCATTTGAAAGAAAAAGGGAAAAATTACTTTCTAGTTGTTACTGGCTGGTACAGTACCCTCCGTGTTTCTGCTTATTTATTTAGATTATATGAATTTCAAAGGGCTTTATATCAGTTGAAAGTGCGTTGCTGAGCATGCATTCGGTTATCCCAATGCCAGGTATTTAATTACTATGTACTTAGTGTTTTGATTTCCTATAATTTCAGTTCAGTGTGTTTAGACTTGTTTATTTTTAAGTTGATGTTTATTTTCACTTATACTGTTTGATTTATATCTCTCGTCACCATAAACTGTAATGTTTTCAAGGGTTATAGATCAGATATTTATTTAGAAGTACAAGATACTGAAATTTAGATTCCTTATACCTAAGGCTGATTTTATTAGAAGATTATTTTAATGTTCTATTATAAATTTTAAGAATTTGTATTCAAATTGTATGTAAAATATGTAAATGTTGACGGTACTATCTTAAGAGGTTCTATAAAAGCTCACAAGGCCTACTGTGAGGGAGCATCGTCATCATAGGCAAACCTCTTACGTTTTATCCTCAATTTCTAGTTACAGAAATTTGGTGATGCTTATTTCTGCCAATTTTATGTCAAAAATAAGTATAAATTTCACTCCTGTTTGCCCCTTTTAGGTCACTGTCCTGTATAATCACTGATGTAATATTTGTCCATAGTCAATCAGAGCCACTTCTGAAGCCCAAGATTTCCTGGGAACCTTCACACTGAAATTAAAGAATTGAGATAAAACCTTGCTAATCATGGGTTCAGTTGTGTCTCAGAGAAATCATGGATGTCCTCACCACTTCCCAGGAAGGTGAGATGAGTTCAGACGCATATTGGTGTTTTGACTTAAATAGGCATGAAATCTCAACTAGAAAAATTAGGGCAACTTTTAAAATGTAATAGTAACTTATTGCATGAATTGGAGTAATTCCACCTGGTGGTGAAAGGATTGTTATTTCACACATAGAAAATTCATCCAGTTTTACTAAAATGTAATTTATTCTGTCATTTGGAAGTACTGACAACTATTTGTAACTAATCATCATTAAGAACTATACTTGAGGGTATCAAATTGAGCTTGTAATTTAAAATCTACACCAACAAAGTGTCTCTGAGAGTTTATTTGAAACCTTGGATGCGGAGAAAAACTCCTTTAAAGTGAAGGTATAATTTCAGAGATTGGTCTGGCCACACAAGTAAATAGCCATCAATTTGTGGCATCTAATAGATCTCTAAGAAAAGGCTCCTGTGCTTCTAAAATATCTTTACCTTCTCCCTGACACAGTAGCTGAAATTTACCCTAAAAATTTATTATTTTACATTTAAAAACCAAAATCCTGTGGGTGTTTACTTTATTAAGCTGTTAATGTGTGTATTCGATGTAAAGAGGATTTGAGATTTGAAGGCGGGCCATACTCTGAAAAGACAGATGTGAAATGGGTCTTGCTGGTTGGCGGGAGGATTTGAGTGAGAGTGGCAGGGATGGAGAGTAGAGTAGGAATTGAGGAGAAGAGAGAAAGTGGGAAAGGACAAAGAAATCCTTTAGCTGTTTTGCTGAAGTTGGCCCTATGGCATTTACTCCCAATCCAAAGAGAGACTGAATTTGTATCTTTCCAGTGACATGACCTGTTTAACTCTGTTTGTTTCTTTGGGCTTACTCTTGTATACTACTTGTGGCAGTATATGCAGCATTTTCATATTTATTCATTTGATGCTTGGATTGGTAAATACACATCCCTCAAGTTCAGGACTTATAACTCACAAATCCATTTTACTTTCTATTCTATCATGTTGACTTCATCTTCAAAAATAATGATTCTAGGATTTATGACACAAATTCTAATGACATCTACTACTTTAACAACCTCAAAGATAAACATTCACTGAACCTCATGTACTAACCCTGTAAAAGCCACAGTGAGTTAAAATTTTCCTAAAAGAATTCTAGTACTATTGAAATATCCCTGGATTTGGGCTACTGAAAGTAAAGGTATGGTAACCTATGGATGTCTCTTCTCCCTGGCTGCTTTTAAACTCAACTTTTTGTCTATTACCCTGAAATCAGTGCAGAACCAGAGCAACAGTGTTTATCAGTGTCTTTGCTTCACAAACGTTTAACTGTCTGAGTGTGCCCAGCACTGAGCTGGGGGTCGGGGCTCCAAAAACAAGAAATGGAACCAGTGTAAAGAATCTGGTGTGGAAAATGTATTTGTGAAGAGAGAATACAAATGAAAAAACCAGGGAACTTGCTACTCCTGGGGGTGGAGATGAGCTCATTCTTATCTACCATGTGTCGTCATGCACTATTAAGAATAAAACTAAACTTTTATCTAGGCCACCTGCATAGCAACTTGACAGAAATCTTGACAGGAATCTTTTCTCACAGCCAAAGGTCTAGTAATTATCATCTAGTAATTATTACTTTTCACTTTTTGTTAGCACTTGTGGCATTAGAAACTGACAAATTTTCCAGCAGTGGAAATCTTCTCTGCAAGAGACTTTCTCAAAATTGAAAGTCAAAATTACCCAGAACTGAAAACCTCCTCACAAAGAAAACTTCATTCTCAGATGACTTCACCCCTAAATTCTATAAATTCATTTAAGAAATAATACCCATCTTACAAACTACTATTTTAGAAAGAGGGAGAGAATACTTGCCAATTCATTTTATGAGACCAGTATACATCTTTGAAACCAAAATCAGGCAAAGACAATAAAAAAACTAAGACCAATATCATTTATGAATTTAGACACAAAAAATCCTTAACAAGATAGTAGATCAGATCTAAAAATATATTAAAAAGATAATGCATTGTCATGACTAAATGAGATTTATCCCAGAAATACAATGTTGGTTTAATATTCAAAAATTACTCAATGTGATTCACCATTTTAACAAAATAAAAAATAAAAACCATATGATTATATAAACAAGTGCATTAAATTCATACATCATTCATGATAAAAACAGCCAACTAGAGCTAGAAGTGACCTTCAACTTGACAAAGGGCATTTACGAAAAAACCAACCTAATATTAAATACTTATTGGGGAAAAACCAAATCCTTTTTCTTCCTAAGATCAGGAACAAGGCAAGGACACTTCTGTCCAACATTTTACTAGAATGTATCAATGAAAAGAAATAAAAGGCATCCCTATTTGCACGAAAAAATAAACCTTTTTGCAAATGATATGATTGTTTATAAAGAGATTCCTAAGGAATCTACAAAATGTTACTAGAATAAGTGAGTTTAGCAAGGTCACAGGACACAAGATCAATATTTTTAAAAATAGCATTTTTACATACTAACAATGGAAAGCTGTAAAATGAATTTGTAAATTATAAACAAATAAATACAAAATTCATTTTAATTATGGTAGCATCAAAAACATGAAATAGTTACAGATGTAACAATATATGTGTAAACCTCTACACTAAATCTATAAAACATTTCGGAAAGAAAAGGAGACCTAAATAAACGGTGTTATATTTTGTTCATGGTTTGGAAAACTCAATATTGCCAAGATATCAGTTCTCAGCCGGGCACGGTGGTTCAAGCTTGTAATCCCAGCACTTTGAGAAACCAAGGCAAGAGGATTGCCTGGGCCTGCAGGTTCGAGACCAGCCTGGGCAATATGGTGAGACCTCGTCTCTACAATAAATCAAAAAAATCAGCCGGGCATGGTAGCATGCACCTATAGTTCCAGCTACTTGGAAGGCTGAGGTGGTAGGATCGCCTGAACCCATCATCAGGTTAACGCTGAGGTGGCCATGACCGGGCCACTGCACTCCAGCCTGGGCGACAGAGTGAGACTCCAACTCAAAAAAAGAAAAAAAAAAGATGTCAGTTCTCCCAAATTGGTACATAAATCTGACCCAATTGCAGTCAAGATAGCAGTAATTTTAAAGAAATTAAGAGGTTCTGTAATCCCAGCTGCATGGGGAGGCTGAGGCAGGAAAATCACTTGTGTCCACCAGGAGGAGTTTGAAACCAACCTGCACAACATAGTGTGACCCTGTTTCAAAAACAATTTTTTTTAACACATTAATTTAAAATTTTATGTGGAGATACAAATGACCTACAAGTTAGCCAATGAAATTGTAAGAACAAAACTGGAAGACTTGTACTTCCTGATTTTAAGACAATCCAGATAATCAGACTGTGGTGTTGGAAAGGATAGGCCAGAAATAGACCTGCATGCATATGTCCAAGTAATGCACAAAGATAATAAGGTAATTCAGTAGGGGAAAGAGAAGTCTTTTCAACAAATAATGCTGGAACAACTACATATACAATTGGGGGTAAAAATGAACATAGACTTCTACCTCACACAACACACAAAAATTAACTTGCAATAAATGAATCTAAAAGTATAAAACAGGAGAAACTCTTTGTAACCTTTGAGTAAGCAAATATTTCCTAGAACACAAACCATGGACTTTACAAATAACATGATTAGGAAAATGAAAAGACAAACCAAGACTGGGAGAAAATAATTACAGTACACTGACCCAATCAAATTTTGTTATCCAGACTATATAATCTCATACAATTTGTATTACAACAACCCAATTTTAAAACTTTGAACACTTTACTAAAGAAAATATATAAGTGACTAATGAGCACATAAAAAAATACTGAATTTATTAGTCATCAATAAAAATGCATACCAAGACAATGAGCTACCACCACACACACTAAAATTACTAAAATTAAAATGACTTGACAATACCCCCAGGAATGCAAGGGTAGTTCAGCATAAGAAAGTCAATGTAGTACATTAATGAGACAAAGGGGAAAATAACATGATTATCTCAATAGGTACAGAAAAGGCATTTAACATCCTTTCGTTATTGAAAGTCAATCAACTAGGAATAGAAGGACACTTCCTTAACATAAAAAGGGCATTTATGGGAAAACACAGCCAACATCATAATGGTGAAAGACTGAAAGAAAGCTTTCACTGATAACAAAAACAAGACAAGGATGCCGACCTTAACCACCGCTATTCAACATGGTTTAGAAATTCTAACCAGAGACATGAGACAAGAAAAACAAAAGGTATCTGCTATCATTTGAATACTTATCCCAAAAAGCATGTGTTGAAAACTTAATCTCCAGTGCAGCAGTGGTGGGAGCTGGGACTTAATGGGAGGTGTTTAGGTCATGAGGGCTCCATGAATCTGCAAGTCGGAAACCCTTGCTCTTTCTCACCTTTCTGTTTGCCCCTCCACCACTGGATGATGCAGAAAGGCTTTGCCAGATGCCAGCCTTTCAGTCTTGGACTTCCCAGGCTCCAGATCCATGAACCAATAAATTGCTATTCATAAATTACCCAGTTTGTTACATTAGCACAAAATGAACTAAGCATCAAAATTGGAAAGGAAGAACTAAAACTGTTCACAGATGACACGTTCCTACATAAAGTCTCAAAAATTTCACAAGAAAGTTAATAGAGCAAAGTTGCAGGACGTAAGATCAATGCACAAAAATCAGTTGTTTTGCCAGTCACAGTGGCTCACTCCTGTAATCCCAGCACTTTGGCAGGTGGAGGCGAGAGGATTTCCTGAGCCCTGGGGTTCGAGACCAGCCTGGGCAACTTGGTGAGACTTCACCTCAACAATAAATCAAAAAAATTAGCCAGTATACATCTGTAGTTCCAACTACTTGGAAGGATCGCCTGAGCCCAGTGGCTGTGAGTATGCCACTACTGCACTTCAGCCTGAGTGACAGAGTAAGACTCCAACTCAAAAAAAAAAAAAATCAAGTGTTTTTATACACCAGCAATTAACAATTCAAAAAGAAAATTAGGAGGGCAATCTCATTTACAATAGCATCTGAAAGAATAAAATATCTAGGAATAAATTTAGCAAAGGAGGTGAAATACTTGTACTAAATTTTTATAAAAGCTACAGAACTGGTGAAAAAAGACTTCAATAAATGGAAAGCTGTTCCATGTTTACATATAGAAAGACAATATTGTTAAGATGTCAGTACTACCCAAACTAATCTACATATTCAATACAATTCCTATCAAAATTCCAACAGCCTTTCACTGCAAGAATGGAAAAGTCAGTTGTCAAAGTTATAGGACATTGCAAGAG